TGTCGTCGTTCCAAACAAGTGCTGTGATCGAGTCGATTGAAGCGCCCATGATCCCACAATAAATGCTTAGGAATGCTGCATAATAGATCAAATATCAAAAGTTTGAAATAAACTGATATACCAGAGCGCGATATGCAGAGTACTTCGTGTGATTTTACTCATATTGTGATCCTAGTACTTGAAAGGATCGAGCTATGCTTCAATCTAATTTGGAAATTATTCAAGTAAGATTCATATAATTCTCTCGGATGGAGAGGCAACTAAGACTATCCCGCACAGTCTAAGCTATGTACTGAAACGCTAAAAAGATATGCAAATTATTGATTAAGAAAATTCTGAATTAACGAATTCAATGAAGAAAAACTCTTTACATATGTTTCAACATCTGCAAATTGCTGTTAGGTCCCTGACGGCGGTCTGTGATAGGTTTCAGAAAGAAAGGAGAAGATCCTCTACATTGATGATGCTGGATTCCAAATTAGGTTGGCGTGCATGCAAAGGACTTTGAATTTGAATGCTAATACAATAAATCAACGCCCACTTTCTTACAAGCTGACAAGAAGTTACAAGTTCTGATCCAGTATATGTTTATGTAAGAGAGAAACTTCACACGATGCGATCGACCTTAAGGTTTAGTCTGTTGAGCACAAAGTCTATTTACTTCACATGAGTCTTCAATGTTCTGCGTGTATACTTCAAGCTCAATAAAGAAGAAGAAGAAGAGGAAGAAGAAACCGGACTCTTCATAATGAACTCTTTTACACAACCTGCTCCATTTTCATAATCCTCTTAACTAGCTCGCAGGAAATATGTCAATCGTTGAAAGAGAAGTAGAACTAGCAGATTGAGGAAGCCATGCTCGAAAAGTAAAAGATCAACTCCTCACAGTCGAGACAAAGACTTGGTTCCACAACTTCATTCGGAATATAGCAACGGAAGCACGCATCCCCAGTAAATGCGTAGAGACCCAAGTGTGTAACTGAAAAGTTGACTTCTCGGAGCATATGATGACTTTCCCATGGACAGGTTCACTGAGCGGCTCAGTCTGAGCCTGAGGTGGATTCAAGGGTCACTGAAAGTTCTCTAAACTGTATTAAGGCAGTCTGCTCAATCTGGAACTAGAGATGCGTCTACATTATGGATCGCCTTTCGCGGGGAATTTCTCTGAGAATCTTGGTTACGTTCAACGTAATTTTACCACATTGTGATTATAAGCGCGACCCGCACGGGCTCCCTTTCAGCTGTGAGCTTTTCCATGGCCTTTTTACCTCGTTTCCCTGGAGGCTGGAGTAGTTCAAATTAGTATAACCGCTCACCAACAAATTTCTGTCGTGACTTTCAATTCAGGATATAATAGAGAACAATCTGCGTCATGCTCTTAAGCCCATCCTTATCCGTGAAGCTCGGCAGTCAAACACTAACTAGCTGTTTATCAGAGTCTCAGTGTAAAGGTCGACATATCAAACAGCTGGATCACGAAGTCAGGAGAAAGTCTTCAATATATTTGACAACTTCATGAACTTTTAAGGCCCCGTGGAAGCCATTGTCCTTACGGCTCTCGATTTTGCTTTCTCAATGCCTGACTAACTGGAAAGTCATATAGCTCTGCCTCTCAATGCAAATAGCGACTATGTGAGCTGACATGTAACTAAATCAACAACTTGCTTTGCACGCTTTGTGTGTGTTCCGTAGTGTTGTACATCGAACTGCCCTCTCTTCTTTACCTCGACGTTAGAACAGCAATGGACCGGACCAAACGCACGGGGATCCGAGCCCCATTACCTCATCTCCATGCCATCAATGGATAAACTTTAGACCATGGTGCTATGCGCAAGCACCAAAACTGCTGGACGTATTGCAGAGATAAAACAGGGACAAAATCGTGACTTGGAAGAAATATAAGCTCATACATATGAGTTCTTTCTGACTGATGAATCACTCGCTTACGCAACAATACCTCTGTATCCAAGTTCGTACCCTCCTCTTACACTATCAGATGCGAGAGTTGCAGCGAATTCGGGCTGCCAGAGTAGATTCTTGGCGACGAAACGCACCTTGCAAACAGAAAACTTAGAGCGACTGCAAATGTTGAAGGAGGACCAGATAGATTAATTCGAAATATGACCACCCTGTCGAGCTTCCGGCTTTGCCTCCAGAACGATCGCATCCCTCGAGTCTCGAGCATGACACTACACCACACCATCCTGATTCTTGAGCGCTCACGAGGCGCCAACCAAATCGAGCCAACACAAACATTCCGCAGTATTTAGCCAATTCAAAGATGAAAACAAAAGTATCTACGCAGTCCCAGAAAGCCAGGGAAGTGAGCGCCGAAGGTTTCCATGGGGATTCACAAATGGGAAACCGAGAGGACAGGCTCGATTTTGACCGACGTCCAAACCAGTCAGTGATCGATCTTTTTGGGGGTCAAATGAATGGAGTGACCTCGCATTCGACCCACCAGACAGACCGAAACTTACGGGGCATGCCGATTTTTGCGGTCGATATGGGTGCTGAGTCAAGAATTCCGACTACTGGATGAAATTCTTTCTTTGCTGGTCGAGAACACATGTCTCTTTTTCGACTATACCAAGAAACTTTTGAGATATATATTCCTTAATTGTTCGCATATTTAGATGAGAGCCCGCACGACCATGAATAGAGTATTCAAGTGTATTTGCCATTCAGCCTTTGCTTCGTATGTTCATTCACATTTTCATACCTTGTGAATGTGAGATTAGTTTCGAGTCAGTAAAAAAAAAATTTTTTAAAAATAAAAATAGTATATGTTGCTTATCGAATGCTAAAAGATGTATATCATGATCTTAATAGGGATATGATGATTTTATGACTTGTGAAGTAAGAGAGATCATCATGTAGATAGATTTGAGACTCCTTGTAGTGAGTGAAATTTAGAGTAAGTATATATCCTATCCATGATCATTTTCTTACTGCATATGTGATGCTTACATGATTTAAGAGAGACTGATTAGTAAGATGTTCAAGTGTATGAGTATGCACATGATTCAAGAAAGTTATGATGGCCATGATTCGTGAAAGTTTGTGAGGGTCGAACATTCAATACAACAGAGTGTACAGTTCAAACAATATAATTTTGGGGACTGATTTGGGAAATATCTTCATGTCATGTGAATTTCAACAACCTCCCTTTCTTCATTTGAAATGGAAGAAGCTAAAACCTTCTACCAGTCACGGACATGTGGACAGTACTCGTTTCAAACACCTCATCCATCCTACGACTCTGCACAGTATGAAATCAGAACATGCTGTTCCCTCACTTCTGCTGGCGTTGCAATTCTTCTAAGGTTTCTCCAATTGCTTCCTGTTCAGTATCTTAGCATCTTACCTGCACACATACAATGCTTGGAATCTGAAATTCATAAACCTTTCACAGAGCACAAATGCTGCACCCTTATTATCTACTAACGAAAAGCCAATGACATTAAGTCATTCAAGAGGCCAAAGTCCATCAAGAAAAATAAACATTAAGAGCCTATCACAATTATCAGGTCAAAAGGCCTACCTGAACGAATCGGATCCTTGTAAACAACAATACCCATACATCAGTCAACTTTGAATGATCTGTACAAACTCTAAGTTTTATTGTTGAAGAGTCAAACCAGGAATATAAAAGTGTGAAACGTAAAGTCATCTTAGATTACAACCTGCATTATGCAGCGTGAAAAGCTTGTAGTACAATAATGAGACATTCATTCAAGTGACGTAGACACCGATTGTAAATATTGAGAGAGTATTTTGCCACCATTGTCGCGAGTAAAAATGCCTATGTGTTGCAATTATTCTGTGCGGTCTATTATTACAACCGTCCTGCTCAGACTTGGTTGCAGATGGAAATTTTGCCAAGTCAATATTTCTGGACAGAAATATCGTCTTATAGTATCCGTGAAAACAACCTTCAGATTGTGAATAGAGCGACAGATTTAACAGTCACTTCGTAGTAATGTTACATGAGTCAAAATGGTCTCTTATAGTTAGATGTATATTGATGAGTCCCAAGAAACCAAAAGAGGTATACTGCTCGAAAAATTGTTGTTCATGACCGAAGGAATGACGTCCGATTTAATGCAATAGCGCAAACAAGTTCATGTGCAACAAAAGAAACTGGCCAAATGAGGAGGGACAATGCCAGATCACTTCGACCCTCACTTCCTTCGAGAGGCATGGTGCGCATGGTCAGCAAAGTTGGTGTGATGACATGGCATCGTCGAGTAAATCCACGTGTCGAGAGGGTAAACTGCAGGCAGACAGGTCCCCCGCCGGTGACGGAGCAAGACTGACGGACCGACTGGATCTTCATAAAAGTCACAGGGAGTCTGAGAATCTCGGAGTTCCAAGGAGGACAGGACAGAAGGCGGTTACCGTTGGAGCTCGGCCGAAACGCCCAACTTTGCCTCACGGATTTGCGCGGATTCCATCGAGGGCCGGTGGGCGGGCAATCGCAGGTTTCCAGGTCGCGCGATGTCACGCTTCTGACTTTCGCCGCACGAGAAGGTCCGGGCTGTACAATGGGCAGAGCCAGGGGTCCCGCTGGTGGCCAGACGAATTGGTATCGGCGATGACGAGATCGAATGAGGTTACGAGGGAGGGAGGCAGGGCAGGGCAGGGCAGAGCAGGCTCGAGGGGGAGGAGGTGTGAGAAAGTGAAGTGGACTGTTCGACTGGACTGGACTGGACTAGGCTGGTGGTAAATCGTACGGTTGGGAATTCGATCATTTCGTGGACGGAGGAAAGTGTGAGCCGGGGGTTTCTGATCTGCACGAGTGGGTGCCCGAGTAAAAAGCTGGCGGAGTGGATGATTTTGCACGGGAATTGAGTCGGTAGAAGGCTGCTAGAACTAGATTTCGAGAGGATCAGGAGCATCCACGTTGGTCGTGGAGAAGAACAACTCTGTCAGTTGGAAATCCCCGAGCCGACTACTGCCCTTTGCCGCTTTTTCTTTTCTCCAGTTCTCTGCTCTCCGCCTCCACTGCCCATTTCTCCCATTTTGCCTTCCTTGATAAGCACTTCTCCAGCATTCCTTGTCGTTTGCTACTTTTTGTTTTTAATCTTGGGTCGAGTCTATCGGTTTGGTCATCAGGCCCACATGAGTTTTCGCATTGTGGAGGTTGTGTTGAATTTCAAGATGATTCAAAGCGCGCAGGTGCCGCAGAGATAATTCCAGATTTCGATACTCGCGCTCATCCTGCCATCGAAGAGCTCGTCTGCTATTGCTTCATTGTCGTTGCGGAAAATGGGAGCTAGCGATCAGAGGGTGCTGAGTTACGGAGATGTGTTGCTGCGGGTGTCGGATGTTTCGCTCTTGGATGGGCCGCACTATCTGAACGACCATATTATTGAGTTTTTTTTCAACTATCTGGACAGGCAGTTTTGCAGTTTCACGGGTTGTCATGAGAATGAGACTTCTCCTTTGCTCCTGGTCGGGCCAACGCTCACATTTTGGTTGTTGCACTGTCCTGATTCCGAAGGACTTTTGGCCACTATCCAACCTATGTCGTTACACGAGCGTGAGGTGTTTTTCTTCATTCACGCTTTCTTCTGTTCTTTGATAAATGCAGTGCATGAAATGAATCCCCTTCTGCCGAAGATTTGCCACCTTTGTTATCACTAATCCTATGAACATATGTTTTTCAGTCTTGGGCCTTCCACTGAGCGTTATTGTGTCCTCCATTTGGGATCTTGATATAGTTTCATGAAGCGACCTAACGCCACATAGTTTTTTCTGGGGATGGTGTGCAATGTCAAGGTAGATGGTGATATTTGCAGTGAACAACAATGAGGATGTGGAAACAGCAGAGGGTGGGACGCATTGGACTCTACTTATGTACAACAGGTTCGTCAAAATAATAGTCTTTGCCGAGCACATTCCAATTTTAAATTTTAATGAAAGAAGGATATTCAACCTACCTCAAAAATTGTGACATGTGGGGAGGATAGTTATTTCCTTGCTCAAATAGAATCGGACAGCAAGCGCAACTGAAACATGTGTCATGTCTGATTGAGCGAGATGATCACTACAGTGTTGTTGGATCCTGACTGTCCTGGTTGTAAATTTTTCTGGACTTCTTTCTTGACCTCTTTTGAATGTAATTCCTACCTTTCTGCAAGTATTTGTGCAGGATCTGCGAATATCGAAGATTATATTACGAGTACCGATTCTTTTCGTCGGACTCTATTTCGATAAGAAACTGATTGCATGTGGTACTTGCAGGCAAAGAAATACATTCGAGCATTTTGATAGTATGGCTGGAACCAACTGGAAACAAGCTCGAGACCTTGTACATATTATCAAGCCATTCATGGGTATGGACATTACCTGCTCTTTCCTCAGAGGAGATAAAGCTCTGATAGTAAATAAGACTTTCACTTGATGCTTTCTTCTCCCTTAATCAAATCGAAAAGTGAGGTGAAAAATTTTCTAAGACTGGATCGGACTTGCTATTATGGAAATTATCAACAATGTCTCCCTCACCACTTCATCTATGATATTCTCTTATTAGGTCCAGTTGCAGCCTCAGCTAAATTCATCGAGCAGGCAACCCCCCAACAGGAGAATAATTACGACTGTGGAGTATACGTGATGGCTATAGCACAGGTGCTTTGCAATGCATTCTGTGAAAGGAAGAGAGGCAGATCAACTGATTACGCAGGATTGGTTCGAACTACGGTCACACCATCCAATGTGAGCAAGATGCGGTACACGACAATGGAGCTTATACATTCATTGTCTGCCAATGAAGAGGACAGGTGTGTTCTTGGAAATACCCAAGTAATGTTGATTACTGATTTTTAATTACAGCACTTTTTACAAACTGAAGACATTGCTTGACTTTTGAGTCTTTTCTTACCGAAAAGAGCTTATCATGATTTGGCAGGAATGCTCAATAAGAAGAGTAGGACTCGACATCATGTTGGCAAGACATCTGTGCATATGTGTTGAAGTTGGACGTTGGAAGATGGTTCTATCATTAAGCGAGAACTACCATAGTTCTAACAGTGGGGTACCTTTCGCGTTTGAAGTTGAAGTTGAAGTTGAAGTATCCTGAGCCAGTCAGATTTTAGGTAGGTTTAGACTTCCCGGTTCAAATAGTTGTTTGCTACATGCAAATTCAAGGTTACAGATTTTGCTAGAAACCTGTACAAAAACAATTTTCTTTTGGCAAATTTCTGTTAGGTTCAATTAGTTCACAATGTCCCCACATATCAGTGCTCTCATGTACTCTTATATAGATTTTGTGTCTTATTAAGAGGACATGCTGTCTAGACATCAACATCTGCGTATACTTGATTTAACCTTCCAGTTAGACTTGCGTGATTCTACAAAGTCTTCTTGTGTACTTATGAAAGATGGTAGCTAGTTGAAATTTTTCATCAATAAACCTAGAATCTTCCGAATTCCAAATTGAAGCTACATGTTCCAGTATTTTCTTGCCTTAATCGTGGAGGAATCATATCCGTGTGCCAGTATGAAGGAAAGTTGCAGTGTGCCACTCCTGATACAAGAACTGGAAAGGCGGAGAGGACAGCATCCAAGTTAAAAATTAGTGCAAATTAACATCGCTGGTTTACAACTCGAATCATGTTTATGGGTCGCCGTAGGAATAGAAATATCATGTGGCTCTGGAGATTAGATACTGGCGAGAGAAGATACAGAATCAGTTTGATCGAGAAGTCATAGAGGTTTAAGTAGAAGACTCTTGATTCAGGGAGAACCCTGGATTGAATACAACAAAGTCAGAACATGAGTTTGCAGAAGATGAAATATATGACTCGGGATTTGTAGAGACTCCACAACTGAATGCTGGTCGTTACAAGTATAGTGCTGTACCTGCAGGCCATATATCCATGTCACAAACAGCTGCAACCGTTTGCAACAGAAGAACACACGAAAGAAATTGACACGTCGAGAATAATAGCTTGACAGTTCTTCGGAAGGTACAAGCCAGCTAATTCGCAGACACCGAAAGGCTCATACAGAGTAGATGATGTGGACGTTGAAGAGAACTACCGTTCAGGAGACCAGGCTAGTACTACGGTAGTCTTTGATAGTAAGGATGCTCACCTCAAGGGACTGCGTTCGTCTACCAAGAAATACTCATGGTAAGCATTACCTTTGCCGAACATGCAGTGGATTTCAGATGCACCTCCTCAATGGTTAAGGCTTTTAGATCGCAATCTGCAGTTGGTGTATATCCAGCTTCCTATTATATTATATATTTGCCAGACTCACACAATATTGTGTTGACAGTAATAATCCTCATGATAACGAGAAAAATCAAAAGCACTGGTTTTCACTGACATAAAGGTTGAGAGAAACAGAAGGCGGAGGCCTTGTGCCTCTTTCCTGGTTACGTAGCATGCCTACGGCTAGTGATTTTGCTGCTGACTTATTGCCACCAACGAGTGATAATTTACTAGCCGCATTCAACGTTTGATAAAACGAGTTTTTTCACGTCTTTCCCGTGGGGGACCAGAACTGGCAACCATTATGGATATAACAGATTTTGGGTCATTTGAAAGTTCCATTCTCTCACAAACAAAACTACCACATTATACTTACGGAGAACGGCAGTACGTTACATCAACTTCAGATTGAAGGCATTTTGTAGCATAATGAAAGCTGATGTATAATCTTCTCATCATACACTATTTTGTGACTTTCGACCACTCAACTTCTTGCCACCGAGAAGAATTCAGAGCATGAGTGCAAAAAAAATCTTCTGTCCGAAAAATATGAAGTGGCATGACCTCCTGGTTCTGGACTCAGCCGCGGACCTGTCTGTCAGGACTCCCTGACAGCCCTCTAGAGCTTTACTGGGCATCACGATATCGGTTTTATGTTCAAAATGCTTGAGATTAAGTGTAATACAGCTCACCAAAATATGAACGTAGTTACTCGTAACTGGGCTAGCATATTGGTGTATGGGAAATTTACAAGTAGGGTACAACCATAAGCCTCAACTTTTTAGTTGAAACTTCACTGCATTATATTCTGTCATGCAGTCATATCGATTAACCATTTATCTTTGCTAAAGCAATACGGTTCTGCTTTGGCATGGTACGACCAACTACATTTTCAATAGTCACATGTAAATGGGCTACCATCTAAGATTTTGACATTGCGTAATATTTCAAAAATAGATTGAAATGTTAAAAAAAGATGAAAATGTGAAAATTAGGAATTGCTATATATGGGTTTGATCTATTTTCCATTTACCATTTATGTGGACAGTTTTGAGTTGGTAAGTTGCTGACAACCACCTCCATGCTTTGAATAATAATATCATGTCACTTGGACATTGACATATGTTTTATGCTGTAATGAAACTCCAACCTTACCACCTCAAATGAAATAGCGATGGTTCTCAATTTTCCTATCATGCAAGCTGATAAGAATTATGGTGAAAATTTTAATTAAATGATGGAAATTTCATGTAAATTTTCCACGAAAAAATAGCAGATACTATCATGAGTTGAAATCGAACTACTGGCATTCAGATATCGAACACACCGTTGGAAAAGGTGAAAGATTGAACAGGTAACGTTAGACAGCACAGATTGATCGAGGGAGGTTATATGATGTCTTCCATCGGAATAAACACAATATCAAATAATAATTCCAATATTATACGGTAGTACAGTGTGGAAATATAAGCATCATTTGCCAGGTGATAGCACAGCATCGACAACCTACGCCAAACCTAAAAGTAGTTGTTGTTTAGGAGCGAGTAGTATAAATACGCCAAACCTAAAAGTAACAGGGAGAGGAGCTGTAATGCCGAACTATGGCGTGATGTATACGTTGCCATTCAGGATTTTTCCGCCTACCCGCTTTCCCTTCCTTCGTCCACGTTGACCCCTCACTTCCTCGCCCCGAACAAATCGCCTCCCTCAACCTTTGCCCCTCCACTCCTCGTCCGCCCCGCGCATTCTATCAATCTTGTCCCCCCTCCCCTTCTCTCCGTCCCATACGCTGATTCCAGTCCCCTCCACCTCCGTCCCAGCCCGCATCTGCCTGATCTTTTGAGATCTTTCCGGAGGCTAGTGTTCGATCTTGGTCTGTGTCTTGGCGCCGAAGTTTTCTTCATTGGGTCTTGCGGTGATTTGTGCTTGTTGCGGTTTTCTTCCTCAACGACGGTGGGTGTGTGATTTCTTCGCGTCGGGGGAAGTTTGAGGTGATTTTCCCTCGGAAGCGAGGACTTTTCTGCCGGAGTTCGGGTTGGTGAACGGAGGGTTGTAGTTTTCAAGAAGCGGGAGCACCAGCGGTTGGATTTCGTTGCCGCTCTCGGTCTCTTGCAAGAACTTCGTTGGGGTTTTCTCACGGCAAGGCTTGTGATTGTCACCTCTTCGAGCCTTGGGGAAGAGTGATTTGTGTTGTTTATCGGAAGCTTACGAAGTTCTTGTCTCTGCTCGGCAGGCCGCCATTTGGACTATTTTCCTCGGTGTGCCACCCTTCGATTACGTTGTTGAGTTCCATCTGTCCTCTTCCGAGTCTCTTTTAGGTCCGCCACTTTGGCGTTAGCAACTGTAGCAGTCATATTCTCCGAATCCTCGTCTCTTTCCTAGTCTTATACATTCTGCAAAATTTTGGTTGTACGGTTCTCCACGGCGCTGGCGAACCGACTCGCACCGCCTTGAATGGTGGAGTTTCTCTGATACTTTTTGAACTCTAGCTGTCACCGAGGCTTATTATTTCTCCAGACACTTGATGGAAGGAACGACTTTGAGACAGCTCACTGTTACAGCTGCCTTGAGTTTGCATCTCTCAAGAAGCTTTTGAGTCTTAAGGCTGCCGTGTTAAGTCTAGGTTTTGCTAAGCGTTGTCAGGCATTTCTTGGGTCAAGTAGATTAGACGGAATCGCTTCAGTTTGTAGGGTTCCAAAGTGCAAGAAAGGGTCAGCCACCTGATTCCATGGTGACCACATTGGCTAGCTCTGGGCTGTCGGACTTGAAGAATATGAAAGTGCAAGAATTGCGAGATCAACTTGCTGCTCGTGGTCTGGAGACCACGGGTTTGAAAGCTACTCTGATTGAGAGGCTAGAGGCGTCTTTTCCGAAGGTTGTTGACAGTGGAGAGGCGATCGAGGAAGGCGAGGCGAAGAAGGAACTGGAAATTGACATGAACGCGGAAGCCGCTGTAGGTGCCGGCGTGGAGAAGACGGAGGTAGAAAAGCCAGTAGACGTTAAACTATCCGGCGAAAATGGTGCAGAATCCACGGCGGAGCCTGGGGCCGATGCCAAGCCCGTTGCCGATGTCGTTGACGCTGCAAATGGAGCGACGGAGGAAGTTTATACTGCCACTGTAGAAACGGTTGCTCAGGAAGGTACAGGCAAGCCTCTCACGTCCGATCTGGAAAGAAAGCAGAAGCGCGCAGAGCGTTTTGGACTTGAGCTCATGGTGTCCGAGATTGAGAAGAGACGGTTGCGGGCTGCTAGGTGGGCACTACTCTCTACTTATGACTTCTCTGACATTTCGCTTGATAAACGATGGTCCATGTCGTCACGTTATTGTCGGACTGGTGTAAGGTTGGTGCATAATGGTCATTCTAAATCTTGATCGAGGGAAATCGCAGAGAAATTCGTCATACCATGCGTGATTCTTGTTGCGCATCCACGTGAAGTGCTTCTGGCTGGTTCATGAAAGGAAGCCTCAGTTCCAACTCTCAGTTTCAAGCATGGTAGCTTGCATCTTTATTTCAGAAATTTGCTGCCACGTAACACGGGAATGAGTTGAACATCTATGTGCCCTCAACTCTACAACTATATTCTTCTAACATACGAATTTTTCAACTAAAAGCCAATGCGAGAAAAATAGGGAATGATTCTATGTTCTTCTTACTTCAACGAGCGGGCGTCGTTAAGTTAGAAACAACGTGGAAAATCTCGTTCAAGCCACTCGTCGGCTTGTATATCTGTCATCCGAGTTGCAAAGGCCCGTACTTAAGAAATTTCCTTGAATGAATTCTTCTTCTTCATTAGTGCAAAATTTGATGCTGTGCTTGTGTTTTTCGTTTCTCGTCAACGGTGGAAGTCTCTGAAAAACCATTAACTAGTTTTCTGCAACGCATTTGGAACGAATACGCTCATTAAATTTAATCCCTGTCTGGCATTTCTGCAATAGGTTCGGTGGGTCTCCGAAAAACGGAACGGATAAAAGTTCTGAGAAGACAACCGTCCAGCAAGAGTTCAGCAAAATGAGTCCTACGGTGAAGGAAATGGAAGCTGTGAAGAGGAAGGCCAGGGCTGCAAGGTGCGAGAGGGATTCTACATAGTATTATGCATCGAGAGAATTGTCACATCACATATCTTCAATTCTACAGTGCCTTTGAAGCCCACTTGGGAGTTTGGAGAGTATATGACCCACTTCTGACAAATATACTGGAAACTGAAAACTGACTCGATACTTGACCTTGCAGATTCGGAATTGATGAAGTTTCGGAGAAGGCTGCAGCTGGTGGCCCTGTCACGTCTGCCGCTCCGGCAGGCGTTGATGATGCAAAGAAGAAAGCTAGGCTCGCGAGATTTGGTCTGACAGTAAAACTGGACTCTCAAGAACAGGAAAAGAAGAAACTAAGAGCTGCAAGGTAGATTCACTGGACCCTATTTGAGTATCTCTCAGGTGTTTTTGGAATTGAATTGTAATTTGTCTATGAAGCGGTGGATTTCATGATGAAGGGCGTTCGCTCCGTTATAGATGGACTGCAACCGCAGGAACTCTTGCGGTTTTAGGATGCCTGGGCCTCGAATGTATTCCGGATGAAACTAGTCACGTGCGTGTTTCTGTGTGTGGTGTCCCTTGTAGTCGTCAGGTGTCCATCAAATTCTTTGGAAAAAGTTGAAAGGAATTATGAAGCTCTGTTTACATCATCTACCCGTCTAGGACGGAAAATTACAACTCAAATCGAGACGGTGTTAAGTTCTGCCGAGTAACGAAATTTGCGGACTTGTGTATTGAATCAGGTTCGGACTCGAAGGGCAAGGTGATGCTAAAGTAGAGGCGGCCAACAAAGTAGCTGTTGCACCTCCTGCCGCGAGCTAATTTGACTAAGATGGCACTCATCATGGATTGGCGTATGTTCAGCATCATTCCGGCATCATATCCAGACCAAAATTATGGACCGTACAGGCGTAGTAGGTTATTTAGGAAAGGAGAGGGGCAGTAGAGGGATGAGGGTTATTTGGTTGGTACGTAGGTCTAAGGGATGGGTATTACGCATTTTGGTTGCTGAAGTTCTTTAGCCTTGGCTGCTGTTGAAGTTTATAGTCTGCATGGCGCCATGAAGCCAGTTTTCCTGCTTGCTCTTTTTCTGTTGGAAGATGTCTGAGGAGTGCTGTGGAATGGTCACTCTTAGTGGTTGCGTTTTTTTGCTGAGAGTAACTTCATGGTAGGTGTCTTACTCACGAAGTTGATGTCGTTCAAAACTTACCGATGGGTCTGAAGAGTCATCATTTGTTTTGCCTCGATGGGTATTCCTGTTGCTCCGTTAGGCTCTGACTGCAGAATGAATGATTAACAGTGGTCGTAAATGTGTGTTCATGGTCTCTCTATCATTTGTAAGCACATGATGAGGACCACATCCGTGCCTGGTGTCTTTTCTCTTGCTTTCTCTTTTGGACTGGATGCGTAGACGTCGTTATTCTGATGATAGAAAATGCCCAGCGACCGTCCCTTACCTGAGCTTGGACCTGTTGCCGAACGGATCGCTGCGCAATCTGTCTAGTTCAACCTTATTATTTGCTGTGCCCAAAGGGCCATGCAAATCAGCCGGTTGTGGCGTGAGTCCTGAACCTAGTTCCTTATTCGTGTAGACTACGGACTTTTCTGCGTTATATCGTGACAATTCCTGCCTGGCCCCCTGCCCATGGTCTGTCTTCCTGTTCTGCGCAAGTGAGAGTGGAATGAATCTGTTTTTGAAGTAGGCTTCGTGCTTATGATGTTGTTGGTATGCCGGTCCAGACCTTGCATTCATACATGGGGAGAGCTGATTAGAAGTCGAGGATATAGTGTAGGTAGTAAACAGGTAACATGATGTTCTTGACAGGTAAAGGTTACTGTACTTATGTACAATATGAATTCTCCACCTCGGTGGCTTGGTTCAAGACTTTTCAGCGTGTCCTGGTCATTCAGCGCCGGACACGTACTGGCTACAATGTACCGTAAATTCTCATCGTGAAAGGCTGTTAGAGAGTGCTGCCGCAGTCCAGAGCTTAAGAGCTCTTATCAGCGGTCCTGAATTTTCTGATGATGGTTTTGGTTTTCATGCGCGATTTGTCTTTGTTGTCAAGAGTAGACTTGAAAGCGTAAGACTTTCCGACGTACATTGAATGTTCACTTGATACTGTGAAGGTCGAGTCTTGAAAGAGAAGTAAAGTAAGAAAACCCTTCGTTGTAAGGGAGAGCACACAAATAGGCATCGTAAACAGTTGGAAACTCATACCTCGGACGATCTCAAAATTCTAGAGAGCGAAGAGGAAGCAGTTCAACTCAGCATTCTCTGAGTAATCATGCATGCAATCCCGCAAGGATTTTAACATCTCAGGAATATATCTTTACCACACGTTCACGTATTTCACTCACGAAAGATACAGAGTTACAAAGAAATGGAGGGTTAAACGAACTTGAAACCCAAGTTGTGAACGCGAAGTGCACGCTAATTGCGATGTAGAAGAACTGTCTAACTGGGAAAGTTCTCTACAGAATATCCTGCACACCTAAATGGCACCGAAACGAGAAGTGAGCATGCGTGGACTGTGAAACTAATATAGCTTCCAAAGATCCTTATAGATTGGTGAAATTTAATATCGTTTATCTTTGTGAAAACGAAGTAGAGGAATTATCATTGGTGAAATTCAATATCATTTATTTTTGTGGACAAGAAGTATCATGGTAAACCTTGAAGATATATATATCAGAATTCGTTCAGCTAGGCCATGGTAAATTGCAAATTTGTTTATATAGAAACTCGGTCAAGAAAGCCAAGGGGTCTTGCATCGCTTTGACGGCACATTCCACGCCCAGCGGGTTGCTCAAGAACGTCACGTCCGACTCCAGCAGGTCCAAGTAGTACGCGGAGCGCCACGTCCGAGTCCACCAGGCCCTTGTTCGTCAGCAGTTCGATGGCGTATTCCACGCCCAGCGGGTCGCTCAAGAGCGCCACGTCCGACTCCAGCAGGCCCTTGTTCGTCAGCAGGTCCAAGTAGTACGCGGAGCCGAAGGTGCCGTTGGTCGCGTCCAAAGCCATGAATCCAAAGGGCTTTGTCGGAGGGCACTGGACCTTGAGCATAGCAGCGAACTCAGGGTCCATGGAGGGATCGGTGATGTTGAGTCCCTGGAAAATGAGAGGCGCTCGAAAAATGCGCCGCAGTGAACTTGTCCAATACAGTGTCCTCCTGCAGTGGAGTGAATGTTTTGAGGAAAGACAAGTGAATACGAAGAGTAAAGAGTGTGTGCGCGCTTTGCTGCGACCTCTTTACGACCCGTGCATTGAATTCATATCTGAGTTACGTTTGTGTTTCAGGTGTGTCTGAGGTTAATCTGTGTTTCGGAGTTGATCGAGTTTCTCCCCAATGTGATGTAATGTAGTGTAGTAATGTGACAATGCCCAAGTCGGAGAAATTTAATGAATTTAATCACTCCAACATCGAGTCTTATGCGTGCAGCAATTCAAATCCATTACATCAACAATATAGTATTTTGTAGCTGAAGCGTCATGCGCCAAATCATTTTGCACACATCAAGTTACCTGATAGTATGATCATGTCTCTGGCATCGAGTCCAACTTTGGCGAACCTGGCGACGAGTTGCGTGAAGTTGTCTGTACGTTCAGGTAAACTACTGTTGACCTGATCGGCGAATGAAGCTACTCCATCTATACGGCCCAAAAACACTGGCCAGCTGGTGCCGCCAACCTGCAAATGATCACATATGGTTTCTGAATATCTTCGAGTGCAAGTTCGTGCGGGTATAGAACAAGCCTCGTGCATCGTGTCCGAGCACTCAAACATTGTTAGCCTCTACATCAAAGCTGAGAATATAGTGCTTGAAGTGTTATATAGTGTTTCGATAGCAGTGGATCCCTGGGAATGTCAATCGTTAATCCACATACCTTCGCAGTGGCGTCTCGGGCAACCAATGCCAAAATATCGGCACAAGATACCACACCTGGACATGCGCACTCGAGCTCCATCTTTATTTCGTCTATCTGCTCGAATCCTCGAAGCGAACCTTTGTTTAGCAATGCTTCTTTCTCAGTCAACATTGTGTCGGTAGAATTGAGAAGGACGGACCCATCGCAGCCCTGCAAGTCAGTGAATATTCTGTCGTTGAGATCAGAGAACATCATTTCTAACTACTGTAATCTTTAATTTATAAACAGATCATTTTATGCACGCTGTTTCCGAAACCGCGGTTCATTCTTACCCGGACGAATCAGTCATGGAAATGAAGTCGCATCAAAGCTGCAGCGAGGCCTCGATCGGCATCCACAAACGCATTCACCTTCTGTTGGACGATGTATGCGGCTTGTGGACATGTTGCATCATAGAACGTTTCTGATAGCTGTAACTGCGCGTCAGAAAGAACTACTGCCACCGCTAGCAGAAGCAAGAGGAGCGATGTCGGACTGGTTGAAGCCATTGTAGCTAGAACAATGCCAACTGCACTCCTCCCAAGTAGTCCAGGCCTTGTCAACAAGTGGACGATCTCGATCTCGTACCGAGTCTAAGGTAGCAAAACAACGAGATAAAACTCACGAGCTGAATTGAGGTCAAAGATCAGATGGAGCTTGTCCAACTTGTGATTAGTCAACCTTTCGATGGTCTTTTATATTTGAGTTAAGGATTGCAAGTGGTCCCAATAATCTCCTCCACGCTGTGCTTGTTCTTTCCAGATACGAAAAAAAATGAATTATTTAAATACTGCAAGCTGGCCATGACTGAATCTAATGACGCTTATCATATAATATGGGACCTGATAGTGCAGTCATGGACGCTTGGTGTCGCCGTAGGTATTACATGTGATTACATGTGATGTGATTACAGATCCAGGAAGAGTAATGGATTTAACCACCTTGTGTGCTCCCTTCTCAGAAAGCAACGCACGATCCCTTAGCAGTGGAGCGGAGAGATGTAATGGAATTCATATTTTCGGTACCAAGGAATGATTAAGAACTTATAAGATCGATTCTTTGACTATTCAAATAGTCAATCAAGCTCACGAGTATGCAAAACTGACGTCGGAAACCGCAGAACACATCACGGAATAGAGTATATATGTTCAGAAACATGCAACGTGAGTGTTTATGTTCATCTTGCTCCGCGGTTATTATAAGAAACTTCCAAGAAGGTCGAGATGTAAAGTTCGTTTGGGTGGATTGCAAGCGCCTCCTGCTTTCTTCCGCATTCCTGTTTTGGATTTGTCTTGCCGTTTATTGCGTTTCATAATCTGCTGCTGAATGCAATCCATGTTAGTGCATTCAGGATGACTGCCTATTTCCTTGCCTATAAGATGGCAAGTTTGGATATCAAATTTGATTGTCATCTAGTAATAATCTGTTGTTCTCCACATATTGACTCCAAATGTGCGAAATAATATTTCTGAATCTTTACTATCAGAATTGGCAAATGTATGTGTATGATAATATAAGTTGTTAGATAATATCAGTTGTTGAGAAGAAAATTCAATTGCTTACTTTAGATATTGTGAATGTACTCCGCTCTTTCATGTGTGCAGCTTTGCTGCACACCAAGTTAGGTTCGCTTCAGTGTTATTATGCTCGTAGGTTAGGAAATTGGCCGAAAGTTGATTCTCGACATACGGAAAAGGAGCCTGTAGTCGGTGGTTGTCTGGAGGAGCTGTTTGGGAAGTGACACGATGAAGAAGTTCGTTAGCGGTTTGGCTGGAAAACACTGCTTCCTGGCGGAGCAGTGGTCATTTTGGATGTGACGCCGATGAACCTAATTTCCAGCATGGAACCTGTTTTCCAGTTCTATGTGAGTCGGCCACCGCACGGATGGACATGCTGAAATTTGATCTCATCTGCCAACTCACTTATTAGTGCTGATTACTTGCTCCCAATGACTATGGTTTACTTATTCCATTTTTGACAACTTTGACCGACTGATTTTTCGATTTGACGAGTTGTCTGTTAATGGAAGGCTCCATTGCCTTTCATTCAAACCTGATGGGCCTCTTAGTCTCGTGTTGGGGTTCCACAGTACTTCCATCAGTTCTCTCCGAATTCCAAGTGATTGCTGGAATTCTCTCTCCATGATATTTCGTAGAGCGGTCGATTATGCTTTTAATTGAGACCCTTATTTTTAGGTTTGGAGTTAAACTTTCACTTGCAAGTCAAACTTTTCTCGGTTGGAAGGACTCATAAAGAGCTGTAAACCAGAAATCCATGTTCTTTTTATATCATTTCTTTAACCATATGTCATCAGTCTCGGAAGTTCCTGCAGTTTGCTCTGTTTTTTTATTGACCCGCGTTAACTTAGAATCTATTTTATGTTGGAAACCTGCATGATCTTTGAAGTTTACCTTCTGGACGGAGATATCATTGCTGAAAACTATTTTCGCTCTACAAAGAGAATGTTTGCAAGAATGCCTTGCATTGTATACCGAATTGGATTAAGGGAGTGGCCGTAAGGAAGACTTGACTAAATTGTACCAAAGAATTCGGACATCAAAGCTATTTCGAAGCATTTGAGTACGGAGTCCATTGGACACGGGTTCGTTTGATGGTTGACTGTTGGAATATTTTGTTTCGCAAACAAAATATTTTTCCAAACAAAATATTCCACCTCAATAGAATATTCTTCGATTGAAATTCAAAATTTATGCGGAGTATGTTGCAGACTTCTTCTCTGAAAGATTATTTCTATAATTTTTGTCATTTATAGAAATAATCTTTGACTAAAACAATACCAGTTACAATCTCAAACATGCGTTATAATGAAATCACGGCCACTAAATCCGTGAGAAAGCAAGACACAACATAGTCAAATACTCAAGACACAACATAGTCAAATACTGTGGACGTGATGACAATATACTCTGAGAAAGATAGATTAAAGTCAAGTTGAAATCATGGATCTTGCCAAAATGTTGAGGCTGAAATTGTATAACGACACCTATTGAAATGAACTCCATGAACAAGTTGAGAGTATTGTGATTCTTCATTTTCAAACTTTATTTGAAAAAGCAAAACATGTTTAGTGTTGACAAAAAAACCTATGAGTTATATTATCACATATATTATAAATGGAAAGATGGATGATTATATGATTAATAACGTGAAACAAGAAGAATCTCTTATACTAAAGGAGTAAATTACTAAAGAAAAAAAATTAGAGAAGCAAGTTCTTGTTGGTGAGTATCAAATATTCGCATCAAACAACGGAGATCAATCATAATTTTATTGAAGATCATCAAACCTGATTAAAAAGACTCCATTCAGGTATGGACTAATTCATACATTCTTGAAGATCGTGACATTGATGCAAATGATTGTGAAGGCATTGGATTGATTTTGGAAAAATGATAAACTTCTTCTTACATAAAAGCTTAAGCATTTGTTAATAAATTTGAATAAAATATTGCTATGATGTGAAAGATGCATCGCTGATTGATAACAAAACATGTGACTTAATTGATCTTACTAGTTAAGCTTTGATTGATTGCAAGTAGATGTACAAATTGAAAAACATTCTAATATATGACAAGTATAATATCTTCAAAGTCAAATAGATGGCTAGAGGTTTCAAAAAAGATAAAAGTTTTATTTAGAACAGATTTTTTTCACTGTTGACAAAATATGCTACAATTTGTTTGATATGTTTGCCTGTTGTAATATTTGGTATTGTTATGTATCATGTGCATATAATTATAACATTTTCCTATGAAATTATATAATATTAAATCTATATGAGAAAAAAAGTAAATAGAAGTTGGATTATAAATTGTTGAAATCATAACATAGTTTAAAGCAAGGCATTGGAATATATAATGCAAATTTTGATAATTTCATGAAAACACAAAGTGTTTATGATACTTGTATAAAGAATGTGAATAATGATATCTTCAATTTTATTTTTTTAGTACTCGATATGAATGATATGCTCATTTTGACAAAAAAATGATTCCACGTTCATATATACCTAGATCTATGTCAAGTTTCTATTCAAGATGAAAGATTTAGATAAGTCCAAGATGATATGAATGATGTACATATATAGTTATTTGATGAAGAATAGTCAGTAGTTGAATCAAGACAAGTTTGTTCAATGTGTTTAACATGTTCTGTGTATCTGACAGGATTAACTCAAAAGTAATATGGACTCCTTTGGCAACACATTGCAATGTCAAATCGATGCCATTGATAAAACAAAGATGTCATGTGTTCATTACAACAAAGCTTTGACCATCCTCATATATTTGATGGTGAAGACAAAACCTGATATTTTTCTACGAATGAACAAAGTGAATAGTTATTCACTTTGTCGAATAGTTATTCATGTCGAATCTAAGCAAGTTATATTGGATAGAGTTAAATTGAATACTTAGATATTAAAAATTTACTTATGATTATAATTTATAGTTTGATGATTTATTAGAAAATATCAAATCATTATTAGACTACATTGATGTTTATTATGGATAATATTTGAATCAAAATAAATTTATAATGTGTTTACATTTGGGGATGGATGCATTAGTTTGACATCTATTTTACTAAAACTGTATAACTTAGTTTATAACGCAAATTGAATATATAACAATAGTAGAAACACAAAAAAAACTATTTGGTTGGATAAATTTATCATTCACATAATATTAAAACATGAGATTATGAATCTTCATGATGATAGAAAGCATGCTTTATACATTGCTCCAAATCTAATGATGTATAACAAAACATATATTTATCAAATATCATTTTATTAAATAGAAAATTTCTGATAAAACTAATAAACTAATAAAAATTGACGATAAAATTAATCCAATTAATGCATTAACAAAAATTATTTTTTCATAATTTTAATTAAATATTATTTTATTATATTAAACATGAACAATAGAAATAATATTTATGCTATTTTTTATGTTACTCTTGTTATTTCTATATATTCTTTACTCTATCATATTTGACTACAAATTTGATTTCCTTATTTCTAGTCTAAAATTAATCATTTATGAATTTTCATTCTCCGATTTGTTGCTAAGTAATTATACACTAAGGAAATTGTTGATCACCAACATTTGCTAGGAGTAATGTGACAAAGTGCACAAGGTGTATTCATATACTAAGACTAGTTAGTTTAGAGTTTCGGCCCATTGGCCGTGACTCTCTTGTACTACTCTTCGTACACTTTGCTTATTTTTATTTCTCTGCATTTTTTTTCTTGTTAATTTTATAAACATTATATATACAGTATTTTAGAACATATCATGATTTCAAAAAAACCAGAAAATTTTATGAACATTATATAAATAGTTCTTTAGAAGAAAGAGATATTTGCTTGATAGGATCCCATCAAGAACATATTTGACTGATGGGACCCATCAAATTTTGTTTTACCCGATGGGACCCAACGACGTCACACGTCAGATTGTTCTAATGTGAATAGACGGTGCTGCCTTGTATTTGTTATGGGGTCCCCAAGGGTTTGTTGTCTTCTCTTTCTATCAGCGTGGAAATCGGGCGGAGGCATTCTGAGATAGGTTCATTGCACCTATTTCCACGGCGCGAATCTGACATTGATGAATTTACGTCCAGCGCGGCTTGGGTACTTCTAAGCTCGGAGCAGAGAGTGGTGTCATGAGTTCGAAAAGAGAATCCCTCAGTCGCGTTCTTGAAGCACGTGCAAAGATTGGCGCATCTAACTAGTGAAGGGGGCAGCCTCGATTGGATTGGTATAGTTTGGTTCGATCATGGGGAAGTGAGAGAGATTGGCATTGGGGTCGTGCCATTTTGTGTTCCGATACCCCGTCAAAATTTTCACTCTGCTGTTTCCTCGTGGTTGAATTTAGTCTCAAAAACATATTCATATTAGAATATTTACTAGAATTAATCGATGGCATAACATACCATCGGATAAAACGAAATTTGATGGGTCCCATCAAACACATATCTTTTAAAAGAAACCATGATATTTATAATTTACTAAAAAAATAAAGTTTATGAACATATAAACAAACAATAATCTATACAATGTTTAAGTATGAATACTCTATAGAACCTATATACTAAATGTATTTACAGGGGATATCTCAAACAAACGGAACGTGGCATCTAGTCAAAGCTCCGAGTTTGTATATTACATTGACTCTTCTCCAACGTGGAGACAAAATCTTCCGAGGGGAGTATGAAATCCTAGAATCATGAATCGGCGTGGAATCTGGCCTTCCGAGGGCTCTACTTTACACAGTCCAATTGGAATAACTCCGTGCAGACAACGCTGTGCTACCTAGAGGCCCAGCAGCAGTAGCACATGTGTATGGCGGACTAGAACAACCCCGACCGTATACCATCCGACGGCTTCTAGAGTGTGCGCGATCGGCGGGTGAGTTCTTCACGGTCAGATGGGCATACGGTCGGGGTTTTCTAGCATGAAGTCTCGTAAGCCCCGGCTGGACCCCGGGGTCCAGCTGGATGCAAAGCGAGCAGTCAGCTGCTGAATGATTCGGTCTATGTCGGTTCGTTGAACACTCCGTATCTACCGTCTTGGAAACGGCGAGCGGAATCCTGCGGATGCAGCAGCCAGTGTCGTGTGAAGGGGATTGTGCTCAGCGTTCCCAACACAATCACGACCCCGATCGCCGTTCCGATCCCGAAGGCCAGCCAGAATGTTCCATCCAGGAGCTCGGACGACGGAGCCCCGAGTGTGGCCGAGCTTCCGCTTGCGTTGCTGTCTTGCGCCACACAAGTGGTCTCGAGCGGAGCCCCGCAGAGCTGATCGTTCCCGGGCTTGAAGGACGAAATGTCGTACCTCGTGGAGAAAGCATTCCCCGTGGGGATCTCGCCCTCGAGGAAGTTGTAGGAGAGGTTCAGATAGCCAAAGCTGGGCCTCGTCAGCACCGCAGGAATCTTCCCCGTGAGATTGTTGGCCGACAAATCCAGCGACTGCAAAAGCAACAGATTTCCGAACACCTGAGGGATTTCGCCCGAGAAATTATTGTGCGCCAGATTCAAGTACGTCAACCCGCGCAGCGCTTCAAGCGCGTACGGGAGCCTCCCTGAGAGCTGGTTGTATGATAGGTCAATGGAGATCAAAGTCTCGAGGACGTACTCGTACACGAGTCGCAGACCTTTGGCCTGAATGGAGATTTGCTCGAACAATTTTCTCCCCTCCCCCTCGACCTGCGTGGGGTTATCGTTGTTGTTGACACTGCTGCTTACCCCGGCGTCGTCTGGTGTCGCTTCGAGGCGACTAAAGCCTTCCAAGCCCGAGAGATTGGTCGGCCACACTCCCGTGAACGAGTTGTGCGACAAGTCGAGCACTTGCAGCTCCGGAAGCTTCCAGATCCAGCCGGGCACGCTGCCGCCGAATTTGTTGGATGATAGACCCAAAACTCGCAAATCTCGCAACACTGGCTGAGAGTACTCGTAGTTGTCGGGGAGCTCCCCTGAGAATCCATTGTTGCTCAAGTCCAAGAGCTTCAGATCCGTGCAGTTGTACACGCTGACGGGAAACCCTCCGCCCAGCTGGTTCCCGTTGACAGAGAAGCTCTCGAGGGATCGCAGCTGCAAGAAGTGAATCTGAGTCACCGTGCCCGTGAGCTTGTTGTTGCTCAGCCTGATGTTTCTCAGGGAGCTGCAGTTCGCCAGAGACGCGGGAATGGTTCCCGTGAGGTTGTTGCTGTTGAGGATGAGATACACCATATTCTGCAGTTGCCCCAGCTCTGGAGGAATTCGGCCCGTCAGCGCGTTGACATGCAGGCGCAAGTACATCAAATTCACCAGACCTCCGAACTCCGGGGGAATCCCTCCTGTCAGAGAATTGTTGCTCAGATTGATCTGTTGGATGCTCTTCAGGTCGGCCAAGCTCGTGGGTATGGGCCCAGACAGCTTGTTGTTCTGCAGGAAGAGGATCGTCAAGTTCGACAGCTTGCCGAGCTCGGCGGGAATGGAGCCTCGAAAGTCGTTGTCGTTCAGGAGCAAGTCCTTGAGGTGGGACAGATTGCCTAGCGCTTTGGGGATAGGGCCGGTGAAGGCATTGGTGTCGAGATACAGGCGCTGCAGCATCGGCCACTGGAGGATGAGGTCGTCAGTGAGGGTGCCCGTGAAGGAATTGAAGAAGAGATCCGATATGTGGCCTCGGAGGTTCTCATACGTGATGGTCTTCGACCTGTAGCTACTGCCGAGGTTTATGTGCAAGAGCAGCGACAGGTTTCTGAGCGGGTCGAGCGTGCCCGTGAGCTTGTTGCTCCCTGCGTCCAGCATAGTGAGCTGCGTGCAGTTGTTGAGGCTGTCGGGCAATTCTCCGTCCAGCTGGTTGCTGCGGAAGCTGAACTCTCGGAGGTTGGCCATCTGCCCCAGGTTCTCAGGCAGGCTGCCGGTGAACTCGTTGTTGAACATGTAGAACCTCTTCAGCGCCGTCATGGCCGTCACAGCTCTGGGAAAGCCGCCACGAAAGTTGTTCCCGTCAATGAAGAGTCTTTCGAGCTGACTCCATGAAGTGGATTCCACTGTCAGAAAACTACCATTCAGGAAGTTGGTCCCCAAGTTCAGGCAATTTAGCTCCGACAGCGACGCCAGCTCCACGGGAAACTCTCCCTCCAAGGCATTCATTCCCAAGTCCAAGGACTTGATCTTCGTCAGGTTACCGAGCTCCGATGGGATGGAGCCTGTTAAATAATTGGTAAGGAAGTTCAGATACTCTAGATTGACGAGCTGGCCGTACTCTCTCGGAATGGAACCCGTCAGAAAGTTGTTGCGGCTGAAATCCAAGTACCGCAGCTTCGTGCAATTGGCGATGGACTTGGGAATGGAGCCTATCATCTTGTTCGACCCCAGGTCCAGAACCTCGAGCTCAGAGAGCAGACCCAGCTTCTTCGGAATGGACCCATGGAGAAAGTTGTTGTGGAGGTTCAAGGTCTGCAGCCTCTGCAGCCGGCCCCATTCCAGCATGCCCGTGAGCCTGTTGCTCGACGCGTCCAGCATAGTGAGCTGGGTGCAGTTGTTGAGGCTGTCGGGCAATTTCCCGTCCAGTTGATTGCTGCGGAAGCTGAACTCTTGGAGGTTGACCAGTTGCCCCAAGTTCTCAGGCAGGCTACCGTTGAACTCGTTGTTGAACATGTAGAAACTCTTCAGCGTCGTCACGGCTAACACAGCTCTGGGGAAGCCGCCACGGAATTTGTTTCCGTCGATGAAGAGCTTTTCGAGCCGACTCCATGAAGTGGATTCCACTGTCAGAAAACTACCATTCAGGAAGTTGGTCCCCACGTTCAGCCAATTGAGCTCCGACAGCGACGCCAGCTCCACGGGGAACTCTCCCTCCAGGGCATTGCCTCCCAAGTCCAGGAACAGTATCTTGGTAAGGTTGCCCAGCTCGGATGGGATGGAGCCTGTGAATAAATTCCCCTGGAAATCCAGATACTCCAGATTGACGAGCTGGCCGTACTCTCTCGGAATGGAACCTGTCAGAAAGCTGTTGCGGCTGAAATCCAAGTGTCGCAGTTTCGTGCAGTTGGCGATGGACTTGGGAATGGAACCCATCATCTTGTTCAACCCCAAGTCCAGAACCTCGAGCTCAGAGAGCAGACCCAGCTCCTCCGGAATGAACCCATCGAGAAAGTTATTGTGGAGGTTCAAGGTCTGCAGCCTCTGCAGCCGGCCCCATTCCAGCATGCCCGTGAGCCTGTTGCTCGACGCGTCCAGCATAGTGAGCTGCGTGCAGTTGTTGAGGCTGTCGGGCAATTTCCCGTCCAGTTGATTGCTGCGGAAGCTGAACTCTTGGAGGTTGACCAGCTGCCCCAAGGTCTCGGGCAGGCTGCCGTTGAACTCGTTGTTGAACATGTAGAACCTCTTCAGCGCCGTCATGGCTAACACAGCTCTGGGGAAGCCGCCACGAAATTTGTTCCCGTCGATGAAGAGCTTTTCGAGCCGACTCCATGAAGTGGATTCCACTGTTAGAAAACTCCCATTCAGGAAGTTGGTCCCCACGTTCAGCCAATCGAGCTCCGACAGCGACGCCAGCTCCATGGGGAACTCTCCCTCCAGGGCGTTGTTTCCCAAGTCCAGGAACAATATCTTGGTAAGGTTGCCCAGCTCGGATGGGATGGAGCCTGTGAATAAATTCCGCTGGAAATCCAGATACTCCAGATTGACGAGCTGGCCGTACTCTCTCGGAATGGGACCCGTCAGATTGTTGTTGCGGCTGAAATCCAAGTGTCGCAGTTTCGTGCAGTTGGCGATGGACTTGGGAATGGGGCCTCTCATCTTGTTCGACCCCAGGTCCAGAACCTCGAGCTCAGAGAGCAGACCCAGCTCATCCGGAATGGATCCATTGAAGAACAAGCCCTGCACTCTGATGTTGAGAACTCGTAACCTTGACATGTTGCCGTACTCTGCAGGAACTCCACCGAAGAGAAAGTTGTCGTGGACGTCCAAGGTCTGCAGCCTCTGCAGCTGGCCCCATTCCACGGGAAGTTCGCTCAACAGGAAATTGTGGCTCAGATCGAGGTGCTCGAGGTATTCGAGCTTGCCCAACGAAGGACCCAAAGTGCCGTTCAATTTCAGCCCGGAGAAGTTGAGGGAGATCACGTGCAGCTCATCGTCGCAGATGACCCTCGTCCACGAGCAGTAGGTGGAGCGATTGCCCGTTGTCCATCCATCCAAAGCGTTGTTCGTGTTCATTTTGATTTCGGCCTTGAATTGCAGGAGCGCATCGGCCTCCCTGGGACAGTGTCAACACAGTGGACTCTTTTGGCGTTAGAGATTAATTTTACTCATGCTTGTGCATTGCTGTGCACATGCACAGACGAAGGACGCAAGCTACAGGTGCAAAATTGCGCACGTCTCTATGAGATGATAGCTTGCTGCTAAATGTCACTGACCCGAAGCTGTCTTGGAGCAAAGTGCGAGATGTTCTTCGGGAGTGTGTAGATTCCTCCAGAGAACGATGGTGAGGCTCATGACAAGTCGTTAATGAAGTGTCGACGGTTTGGTCCTGAAGTCTAAACTGCTGCAGCTCTCGCTGGCTCCTGGGACCGCCGTGTGCTTGTTTCTGGCCCATATGCGCTTCGACGGAGGAAGCCAGAGGAAGTCCACTCTTGATGTTGATGCTGCCATGCTTTTTCCCGGCCGATTCTGCACATACATCGAAATCTGGATCCTGGAGAGTCTCATCAAGAGTCTCGATTCTGCTTATTTCGCCGAAGGTGGTATCCTCCTGACCAACGGCGCAAGCACCGAGCTGGAGGCAATATAGCACCAGAATCACCAGCATACTGAAGCGTTCGCGGAGAGCGGGCAGATCAGGAGAGGAAACGACCGATGCCCGACCTGTAGATCTTCTGAGTAAGTGCATGGTGTCCACCTCCAGATAAATATAAAACTCAATTCTCCATGTACTTCTCAATCTCCATGCATCGTGGAATTGCGAATTATTAATCAAGCAACTATCTTCTGTTTTTCTTTATGAGTGATCCTGAAAGCATAATGAATGTCCTGGCCAGTTTCGCGAAGAACCTCATTGATGTAATCATAGAAAACCACCGAGCTGAAAAGCCGAAAGAAAAGGTATCTTAAGGAAAGTTGATTTCCTTCAACTCAGTGATCTGGAGTCACATAGGACTTTATGACATCAAATGAAGGCGTCTGGAGAAGGGCCAGATCAGCAACGATACAATAAACATCAGTCACCCACAAATGAGCAACTACATCCACCCCACACAAGGAAGATCTGGAATACTTGATTCGGTTCCACTATAGAAAGTCAGGGGCTAGGACACAACGGTGCGCTTTCTGAGACAATGTACTATTCCAAGACATGTAGAGGCCTTCGCCAAGATAGATCCATACACCATGTGTCTCATCTACTGCCAAATTATAGGTATCTCTTTCGCATCGTGTGATTCGAGGCATCATAACAATGGCATTGCCACTGAAATTTGAAAAAACGGAGTTAAATTTTGCAAAGCCTCAGTTTATTTGCCAACAGCGTATCACATCCGTGGCCCTGGCCTTCTCGGTCGGTGACATCACAGAGGGGAAATTTACTCCCAAACGTTCCCAATTTGACTCTATATATCCGCAAGCGGAACTTGCATATTTCAAATTCCATGGACTGCAAACAACTGGCTGAATCAATAATTACTCAAAAACACAAGAGTGTACCTTTGGACGATATAAAAAGTGGGCCGCTTTTGAAAACCTGCAAAGTCCAATTCACATTCAAATGCCACAAACTTAGAAAATACTGCGATGGAGGTTGACGGTACTTGGCAATCAATGAAGGAGATCTGGAGCTCTTCAAACATAGAACAACCAGAAGTTGCAGTAAAGATGTCCATCGGGCCTAAACCATTGACCATGGCCTAACGACGAGATTAAATTATAACCAGACGCGATGGATCAATGGACGGGATGAGAGCCAAGTAGACGGGCGGATTTTGGTAGTAGTCCTCTACAACTCCATTCAAAACTTGGGTGAGAAGTGATGTAATCACTCACCCTTCAATATCGATCTTGTATTTAAAGATCGCTAAAAGTTTAACTGACTAACTAAAGAACGGCCGATCTTCTCTCGCCAATCTAACATCGGAGACAGTGACTGTTTCCTTCTCGGCCATAGTTAGTGTTCTCGTCACACTCGACCATGAAAATTGTCCTCAGAAGCTCGAAAACGGCTTGAGTACGCAAACTGACATAACATGAGCGAAACAGGATCGACAAGCGCACCAGATTTGATCCATGCCCCCGCGGACGCTCATAAGGGGCTGGAGTCACTGTCGCTGACATCTCCTTTGCGCTCCTGTCTCCTTATATTCCTACCTGCTAGCAACCTCCTGATCCTCAAATCTCATCGTCCTGTCCGTCCATGATATGTCCACTACTGTTCAACTTCTTTCATACCTCTGTACCTGAAGCTACCAATGCCCCAAAGGACCCAATGCTGTCACAGTCCGTCATCTGACCCTCAGTGAGCGACCACCCTAAGCCCACAGAGAATGTGCGCTACCAATTGCCTGGAAGTTCTGGATATTTTCCGAGTAATGCGGATGGCAGTCGGTCGTTCTTGACAAGTGACAGAAGAATTTCGCTCCGAGATCAGACTGAACAAGCAGAGGGGGTCTTCAGACGCTACTCACCGGTAGCTTTTATGTATAGCCAAGACGCCTTCCTCCTTGTTAAGCTCAGGGGTCATCTTTCTAAGTAATCAAACCAAAATACTCCACGATTAAGTACAGCGACTTGGGGAGTAAACATGTGGTTTCCTGTACGCCAGACAGTGCAACCTGCAAGCGAAACTCGCGTAACCTGCATTTCCCTGCCTTCAAATCATGCCAGTTCTACACCACTGCCTCGGTCCCAACATGCTGAAGCTCCTCCTCCAGAACTTTCCGAGCGCAAGCATTCCTATGCTTCCTACTCGCAGCCACTTCCCTCCGTCTCACCGAGCGCTCCCTCCCTCAGCTCTCGTCCTACACAAAAACCAAGCTGCATACGGTCGTCGTCTTCTGCTTCTTCTCGGCAAAATTTGTCAGAAAATTCCTTACGACAATTTGCCCTGACCTCCGAACGCCTCCACACAAACTCACACCGCCATACTCCCCACCTGATCTACGCGTCTACTGCCTCGCACCGAGAATGCATGGTGTCCACCTCCAGAGAAATCTAAAAATCCATGTACTCCTCAATCTCCATGCATCGTGGAATTGCGAGATAGCTAGCTAGCCCAGAAGTGAACGACGCTGAGAACTACGTGACTCCCAAAAGTTCAGCCGGTCCACACTGATCCTCATCATCTAAACTCGGACGACTAGATCGCTAAATGACCAGCCCGCCGTCTCCTCTGACTTCGAGCTCCTCCAATTCGGGAAAAGACCTGCCGATGCACATCTCCTGGCTTGCTCTCCGGACGCGGTGTCGACCGAAGAGAAGACTCGTACCAGAGTGCGTTTGAGTTCTATATCCTGGAGAGAGAGAGAGAGAATGGTCCTGCGTCTTATGAATGGATGGATTGAAGGGTCTCTAAAGAGGATGGTGGTGGTCCTGATGACGGCAGCAGTGAGCGCAGATCTCTTTTCTGGTGCAACTTCTATGTTCCGTACGCAGATGTCTTGTGCTTCTTGTTTATCGACTTCGTTGACTTCAGTGGCAAGGAAAGCTTAAACTTAATGGTTCATAGGAATAGTTACAGCTACAGAACGTGGCATAGCTTGGTTTGCGGTCTCTGTTGAGATGCTCCAAGTGCACGGGGTTGTGTCCGCATCTGATAACATCAGCGGACTCCAGCGTGAATTCAGTGAACGGTTGCCATTTCTGTCGGTAGGTCAGGGCTCAACAGGAAATTCACCTAGAGAGTTGCAACTTCGCAATGTTTGGATCGACGCCAGACAATGGATGAAATCACGTATTGGCTCCCCAACCTTAAACCAGCTATTGGCCTCTGATTAGCATCAGCTCAGATAATATCGTTCAGACCACAACATTGGATCTTCCAAATGCCCTGCTGGGTTCCGAGAATGGGCAGTGAAAGTTGAAGTGGCTGAGCCTTCACTTCACTTTGAGGATCGAATGCTTTCTTTACGCCTCCCTGGGCACGCATGAACGAAGTAGGTGGTCTACGGTCATGGATATTTTCCTTATCAACTCCCCGCTTGGATTCATCGGCTTGACGTGTGCAAAGATTTTTTGGCGGGGCTTCCTTTTCTTCCTAACATTGTCTCCTCTGAAAGGCTAATCTACGCCAATGAGACTTCTTTCCTTCCTCTTCTCTTGGAAGCAAAGTTCATTAACCTGCAGGGTTACATGATTCTGGATGGGAATTTGATTACATCTGCAAGTACATTGAGCTTGAATTGAGCATCAAGATATGAGAACAGATTGCCAAGTTGTAGAACTACAAAGTAATGTTGAAGAGATATGAAGGTCAGCAAGCTCGAATTGCAAAATCTATGCAATTGCTGTACTGTGCTCAGAGGAGGGAATCGTACTCTGTTGCTGAGATGTCGACTCTGGTTGCGGTGTGAGCTGAAGGGCAGAATGCAAACTTTCGTTCTCCATTTTGGAAAGCAAGCTACTGTTGAAGACAAAAGGTCTCAAACCTGACTGACCAACTGTTTGGTGTCCCCGTTATTGATTCCAACATTTATCCCCGCAATGTGCGGAAATAAATTTCGCTTCTTGGAAAATGAACTTGGAAGTTCCGATGTTCCAAAGGAGCACACAGTGATATCACCTCTAGGAGCCCTTAATCTATGTCTTCGATTTGTGTGCATAATGAGATGCCGTTAATTTAGTCCTACAAAGTGAGATTATAATGCCGTGCCAAATTTGTAAGTTCATGTGCAATCCTGGAAAAGAGAAAGGCTCATATTTGGGGTCTACCCCATGTTACACTTTTGGTTTCATCTATCTACAACTTGATGAGTTCTTCCTAGAAATTTTGCTATATCACTTCGTACTTCTTCTGATTAGAGAGAGACAAGGATTTTGCAGCTGTATGGTTACGATTGAGCCGTCTACAGAAGCTGAAGGCATAGTTGTTTTAGCTGTATGTGAGTTATAGAGCATTGTAAGCGAGTTGAGTGCATTATTCTAAGAACCCCATAATAACTCGAAAAGCTCAAGGTTTACTTCTACGGAGTTGATACATTATATCTGGAGTTGTAAAATTTTGAACGACACAGGTAAGTGGCAAAGGATGTAAACGTTGAAGCTAATGAAGAAAGTGTTGTTCTCTGGGTTGAAAAACAGGTGTAGATATCTTAAGTATACCAGAGTTCACTGATCGTGAATGACAACGTCTGCAATCCAGGGCCAGGACGATGATGACGATAATCCTTAAGCGTGCAAAGGTCATGCTTTAATCAGATTCTGCATTTGCATGGATGGCACTTCAAAAGAGAACGATTTTCTTCCATGTCCAAGTCAAAGCTCTTGTATCATCTTCAGTGGCCAAGACTTGTGGACCACGCTAGAATGTGCTTGTAGTTGACTTTTGTCACTCAAGACTTTAGCAGTACTCTCACGAGAACCTTAGGTAATCGTGACATGTCCTCCTTAATCTATGTGCCAGTTGTCCGTAATCATCAGAGGGAAGCACGCTGAACTCACCCACCCATTAGAGAATTAGTATGCTCACATCTTTAATCAAAGGTGCCATGATTTAATGTTTGTTCATGTTTGTTCCAGATCTGGGTACTTTATAATTAGGACGGTTTGCTGAGAGATCCTTTGTAGAGCCTGCTCGCTGTTTTTTGTTACTACCCATCTTCATCTGACGATCATTCTAAGTGTCTATCTTTCCAGCTCTGTCCGACTCCATCCTACGGTTCGGTTCTATCACCCTCACGCTCCAAAGCCCATTAGCTTTTTATGAAGCTTGAGGTTCTAGCAAGCCTGTTTTCCCTCCTGTGAGATCCAAAGTAGTGCTCATGAGTTATTATGAGCTGTCCACCTTGCCGACTCTCCACGTTCGAGTGAAACTCACGAGTTTTAATGCCCACTTTTTGATGATCCTGAAGCCATTTTGAACTCAATATTCATGATTAGCCGATATTTCTCTTCAAATTTCAACTCAAAGGATTCATTCTCATTAATATCTTTTGCATGACCAACATTTATGCAATGCGATGATTACTTGGTGGCATCTTGGAAATGGGTTTATCAAGACCATCTTATTCAAGTATGTATGCCATTCTTTGACACAACTTGTTCCTTAGTCTTTACTCCCATTTTTTACCAGAACCGATACCACATGACACACACACACAGATATATATATATATATATATATCACAATAGAGTCAATTTAGCAAGTGAGCTTCAACAAGAGCAAAAACATTTTAATAGTTCATAAATACATCAAATATAAGCTCCAAGTTCTGCGAGAAGGTTCTACAACAGCTTATCATTCTTGTTACATTTGAATGGTCTTAATCGAAACAAACTATAAAGGATGCGCTGCCATATCTTGGCCCGTAGTGGTTTCAATCCTCAAACTTGTGAACTGATATGCATCAACGTTGTAACAAGGTACGTCTCCTAGTGAAGGGGCTCAATCATTGGAGTTAGTTTTAACAAGTGGCGGATCTCCATTCGAAGCATTAGAACGGGCTGTACTAAATTGTCTGTGACATTGGCGGAGGAGTCTCCCGATCAGGACGTCAAAGTCGATCATGCTTGGTTGAACATGCATCTGATCAGCTTGCTATGGACTGTCTTTCTCGATTCCCGCTGCAGTCTCATGGAAGCCGACACTTTCTGGAAGTCTAAGCGCATCTGGAAAGCGGCCAGGTTACGTTCAGCGAGTAGATCCAAGAATCATTTGCCAGTCTGATAAAGCGAAAGTGTGGAAGTCTCGTCGCTGGAAGTGGACCCCGTCGAGAGGAAAGGATTCCTGAGTTCTTCAGGGAGGAGCGACATGCATTTCCGTCAAATGTGGTCCTATCACATAAAATGAAACGTGGTGGGTCTCATCAAGGGATTTGAGTCTCCCACGGTCCCATCAAGTAATTACAATGAATCTTTTCCAATCTGGAGACAAAAGCTTCCAAGGGGAGTACTCCTGCAATCATGAATTGTTGTGGAATCTGGCTCTACTTTACACAGTCCAATTGGACCAATCAGTGCAGACAACGTTGTGCTATCTACAGGCCCAGCAGCAGAAGCACATGTGTATGGCGGACAACGAGTCCCCATTCATGTCGAATCTCGTAAGCCCCGGCTGGACCCCGGGGTCCAGCCGGGTGCAAAGACAGCAGTCGCGTACGCAGCAATCAGCTGCTGAATGATTCGGTCTATGTCGGTTCGTTGAACACTCCGTATCTACCGTCATTGGAATGGCGAGCAAAATCTTGAGTATGCAGTAGCCAGTGTCGTGCGCAGGGCATTGTTCTCAGCGTTCCGATCACGACCCCGTTCGGAATTCCGATCTCAAAGGCCCGCCAGAATGTAACATCCAGGAGCTCGAACGACGGAGGCCTGAGTGTGGCCGAGCTTCCGCTTGCGTTGCTGTCTTGCGCCGCACAAGTGGTCTCGAGCAGGGGCCCGCAGAGCTGATCGTTCCCGGGCTTGAAGGACGAAATGTCGTACCTCGTGGAGAAAGCATTCGCCGTGGGGATCTCGCCCTCGAGGAAGTTGTAGGAGAGTTTCAGATACCTCAAGCTGGGCCTGCTGAGCACCGCAGGAATCTTCCCCGTGAGATAGTTGGCCGACAAATGCAGCGACTGGAGACGCAGCAGATCTTTGTAAGGACTTCGTTGCAATTTCAAAACGGGAATAAAGTTCGGATGTATGCTACAAGTATGCTGAAGTACCAACCTAGTGTCTAGTATAAATGAGTGATGACCAGGCCTTGTTAAAATATGCGATCGTATGCCGAGACGCCTGAACTAGACTGCTCGCCTGCTTATCCTACCTTCACTTACGCAGACATATTTACTCTACAATCTAATAACAGTAACGAGACAGAGACAGAGGATATGCTAGACACAAAATCATCCACGTTCAGTTTTTATCAAAACCTTTAGAGAATCCTGGGCCCATATTAGACCAGGCATATCAGATGCCACCAAAACGTTTCTCTAAACTGCCTACTACCACTAGCGTTTATGAATCGAGTGGACATTGAACTCCATTGTAGTGTAACAGGGGATGTGGTGAGTTGCGCGATTGGTTACTGAGAGGAGTGGGAGGTCTTATATGGCTTCTAAGCGTGCGAATGATTTTTGAGTATGAAGCATGCTAATGAAATTATTTTGAATAAAAGCAGGTGCATCCTTGGTTGTAACTAAGTTTACACATAAAGAACCTACAGAGAACTACAACTGTTCCTCGAGGATTATTGCGAAGATTCAATGGCATGTCATAGGTGCACCCTTAGCTGGCGGATTTAGGCAAATAAGGGTGCTAGATTTTATAGAGATAACCTGAAGGGTTCAGTCATAGACAAGGTTTCTTCGGATGGCAAATCAGAGTTACTTCGTACTGGTGGATTGTTGATAGTCACACAGATCAATTTGGCTACTGTCAGTTATGGAGAACAGCATTGTAATATTGAACAGGAGGGGAAATCCAGATAAGGATTTTAAT